ATGTCCTACCCAGACATCCCTGCTTAGCTACTCTAACATCAGGCTGTGGCTTCTTTCATGGAGTCAATCCATCTCTTGTTTAGGCTTCCTTTTCTACTTCCTTCAACTTTTCCTAGCATGATTGTCTTCCCCAGTGAGTCCTGCCTTCTTCTTCTTCTTTTTTTAATAAGTTTTATTTGAAATTATAATCATAAAAAACAAAGAAAGACTGAAGAACAATATCAATCTTCAAAAGCATCGGGCCTGTTGGGTCAGCCCCCACACCTTTCTTTTTCCATTTATGATAACTTAAAAACATATTTAAATCTATGTGAAGTCCCGTTTCTCTAGCCAGTAAGTTTGATAGAAGTCAGTATCTTCATTCTCCTTCAATGATAAAGTCGATCTATCCATTTCTGCACAGTCAAAGATCTTTTTTAGAATCAGTTCATCGGTGGGTAGTTATTCACTTTTCCAGTGTTGAGCAAACGCAATCCTCGTCCCAGTGATTACATGTAAAATCAGATACATTTCTTGTTTACTAATGTCCACCGGTATAATGCCTAATAAAAAAACTTCAGGTTTAAAAGCTAAAAGTTTTTGTAACATTTCCTCAAGCCATTTATGTATTTTAATCCAATACTTTTTCATGTTATCACAAGTCCACTACATATGATAAAAAGTACCCAGTTTATGTTTACATTTCCAACATCCATTTGACGTATTTGGAAACATCTTAGCTACTCTATTTGGTGACAGATACCATCTATAAAACATTCTATACAAGTTTTCTTTATACGAAGTTGCTAATGTTACCTTAATATTTCTCTCCCATAGCTTCCAGGGAGGCCTGCCTTCTCATGACGTGTGCCAAGTATGACAGCTTCAGTGTCATAATTTTTGCTTCTAGGAAGAGTTTTGGCTTGATTTGATCCAGGACCCACTTGCTCATCTTCCTGTCAGTCGAGCGTATTTGCAAAGCTTTCCTCCAGCATCATGTTTCAAACACATCCATTTCTTCCCTGTCAGCTTTTGCATCCTTGCATAGTGATCAGGAACGCAATGGTGTCCATGATGCTGGCCTTGACCTCCAAACAGCCTTACATCTGATTATTTTTTCTGATGCTTTCATTGCTGCCCTTAAACCTCTTCCTTTCTTAATTTCTTGGCTGCAGTCTCCCTTTGAACTGATGACTGAGCTCAGGTATAGAAAACCTTTCACAATTTCAAGTTCTTCATTGTTGAGAGCAAAGTTCTATAACAGGCTAAAAAACACCTTTTCTTTTTGTGGCTCCAACTCATAGACAAGGACCAGAGAAAATGAGGCTGATGTTTTATTTTTAGCTCTTGCATAAATATCTTCCTGTCACTTACCTCTCTTTGCTGCAGTTTCCTTTCTGCAGTGCTCAAGACTGCCAAAGGAGTCTGGGAGGGATCCTTTAAAACTGGTAGAGTGTACAAGTGAAAATGAAGGTGAAAATTGTCCATACACTGGACAAAGGGTAATTCCTTTTATGGATATCCTACGAAAATGTAAAGTGACCATTAGCAGAAAATAGATTTCCTGATTCTACAGTGAAAACACTTCAGGTAAGAAAAAATATATATTAGGGGCAGAGATTCATGATGCAATCACTAAAGTCTGTTCCTAGAATTGCTCCAGTCATGGAAGGGGGAACTGTTGAGGGACACTAAAATGAGAAGAAGAATCCCACAAGAAAGCAAGCCCAGAATTTAAATTCTGTAAAGAAATGTTGTGTGATGAATAATCTGAATTTTAACCAATTGATCAGTTAGGAGAGCAGACCTACTAGGCAGCTCCACAAGAAATCTTCATGGAAGCTCCTTCTCCTGAAATCAGCAGCATGATCTCAGAAGGAAGCAAATGGTGGGTGGATCAGTGGTAGGAAGAGGAGACATTGACCAGCTGGATCCACAAGGCTTTCAGCTCCTGTTCCAGCACACAGCGGGGAAAGAGAGGGGCTCAGAAGCAGGAATGGGAGGTAAAAAAGCTTCTTACCCTACAAGGTCAGAAAATGGATGAAGGGCTAATCCACAGAACAGCCCTCTTCTTTTAAAAAGGAGTATCATCAAAAGTCCATATAGATACAATCTCCATACAGTAAAGTTTGAGATAAATTAAAATGTAATAAATAAAAGACAGGATCCAATGGGATGCTTGTGCCCCTGTGGATTGTCTTGTGGTTTGCCAATTCCTGTCCGTAAGTCTGTAAGACTCATGGTTCGCAGAAGATACTAAGCACCCTGCCAGCCCCCTTCTTCCAAAGCAAGTGGGACTCCATTCATCTCAAATATGTATCAAATCCATTCAGTATATTTTCATGTAATGTTATAGTAACACGTCAAAGCTAAATCAATGGTCCCAGTAATTCATATTGGTGCAAGTCAGGTAAGTATCTGAAACTGTACTTGGTTAATCTAAAAACAAAATAAACAGACCCTAGACACATGGAGTTTGATCCAGGTTTTACAATCCATGAATGGAGGGTGATACAGCTCCTGCCACCCATGGGATCATGTATTCACCAGCAGGATTCTCTCTCCCTGCAGCTGCTTGTGCTCTTCAAAAATTCATTCTAGAGGGTCCCCCTAGCCACCACAGCAGATTTTCAGAGGGTATGAGTAGTTGCAGGAAGAAATACTTCCCTTTTTTGTAGTGGGAACAAAGTCTACAGAAAAGCCAATGTTCTAGTCCAGGGACTGGCAAAAGGTATAAAGAATCTACTTGTCAAACTCTGGGTGATTTGTAGATCAGTAAGGATTTATGACTTTCAGTTATTTAACATTAGAAGCAATAAATCAGAAGCAAATATCAAAATCACAATCACACTCACTACTGCTGAAATAAAGAAAGCTTGAGGTAAACAGAAGTAAATTTTTGTATGTGGAAGGAATGTGAAAGGTCTGTTCTGGTACTCGGAACACATTCCTAGGCTCAGGAGTCCATAATTATCTGTTTCTTTTGCACCAGGCTCTACCAGTTGGGGGATCTCAGATTCTAGTAAAAAAGTGTATCTCTCTCACGGCATGTTGTTTTTACAGTCAAAGACACAATCCTAGGCGTGTTTAGGTAGAAAGAATGCTGACTAGTGGGAATTTTTCTGTCAAAACAGGCATCAAATTGTGTCCTTAGCAGGTATTTCTAATGGGACATAGCATTCTGAACAATTTAGATGATATTTAGGCCAAGCTGTCACATTGTAGTGCTTCCTCTGTTGCTCCTCCTGACTTTAAAAGACTTGTCTGTTGACGTGTTTCATTACTTATTTTTTATTTTTCTTTCAGTGCAGCTGCAGCAGTGGTCTTTCATATGTAGGCTGGCAAAGCACCAGTAATTTTAAGCAGGTGTGGAAAAGTGGCCCATAATGCAATGGATGATGAGTCTGGTGAATTCTCACTTTCTGATTGTCCCACATTTTCTAATTGTGCTGCTTCCACTGACATTCACACACCATTTATTTATTTATTATTTATTTATTAAAACATTTTTATGCCGCCCCATTCGCCGAAGATTAAACTCTATCGCATCACAGAAAACAGGGGATTTGAGTCAGACTCCTCCTTTCCTTGCTAAAGGCCTCTTTCTCAAGGTTTTTTGCCTCTTGGCCACCACACACCCTGCAACACATTTCCCTATTGCTTCTTAACAACCCCACTGGCCTTCTTGACATTCTCATTTAATTTTTGTGCTCAAGTGCAAGCAGTGTGGCTACACCCAGCTCCATGCAAGATCACATACATGCCCTGTAAGGCAACCACTTCGCAATTTCCATTTGCTTTTGCAGAAAGCAAAGGCCCAACTGTTTTTACAAGGAATACAGGAATAAGCCGCTCCATTTTGCCTGACGTTCAGGATGGATGAACGCTGCAGGACTGCCATGGGAGTAGGACATCTGTGCCTGCAGATCCACTTCCAGCAAGAGGCCCAGGAGGAGTAAAGGCTTTAATGTCACTAGCAGGTCATTTCAGGGGATGAGGTGTGAGCGAGCTTTGCTTGCAAACATGCCTACGTGGAGAAAGAAAGGCAAGGTGCCCGGGATTTCAGCTACAGGTGAAAACAGCGCACTGCTCTTTGCAAAGGGATGCGTCTTGCCGCTCGCTGGAGAAGTGCAGAGCTGGCTGCTCAGCAGCTGTGTGTCTGGCTCTCGTTTCCTCGAATCTAACCATGACATCACGTGAAAAAATCTGCCCTTGAAAAATGGTGGACCGCTTCAGCAGAACGATCCGCGGTCCCCTCCGCCCGCTCCTCACGCCACACACGCTATCCCCTTTCGTAGTAATTTTATAAATAAGTCTGACTTTGACAGAAGGAGCACAGCGGGGCGTCGCTGCTACTGCCGGGTGGTTAACAGCCTGGGGGGAGGGGAGGGTAAGCGCAGAGAGAAGGCTGGAAGCCGCCGTATTTCCTCCTCTCCTTCTGCCAGGGTGGGCGAGACGAAAGCCACGCACACGCCACGGGCAACAAATGGCCGCGCGGCTCCTCGCGCTGCCCGGGAACCTCTGCAAGAGGACGGCCCGGGCAAGGCGCGCGCGCGCTCGCTCGCTCGCTCGCGGGCGGGCCGAAGGTGCGAAGGCGCGAGCCCCGGGGGTGGGGGGCGGCCGCGCGTGCACGCTCACACCGGGTCCCTGCCGCCCGTAGCGCCTCTCTTGGGGTCTGTGTGGCAGAGCGCGCCGCCGAGCGCAGCGGAGCCGCACGCACCTGCGTCTGTGCCCCCCCACCGCCCGCATTCCCTCCCTCCCTCCCTCCGTCACGCACAAATCAGCATACAAAAAAGCGCCCGCCGCCGCGGGGGCAAAGCCCCGCTCGCTTCACTGGAGGGAGGCGGGGAGCCGGGCGCGCAAGCAGGCAGGCGGGCAGGCGAGAGGGAAGGGGCGGAGCCTTCGAGCGCCGGCGGCGGCTGCGAGGTGCAGCAGTGCGTGCCCGCGTGTGTGCGCGCGTGTGTACGGCTGTCGCCGGGGCGGGATTGTTGCCCTCGGTAACCAGGGAGCCGGACGGAGGCTCTCCGCCGCCCCACAGCCCCGCGGCGCGAGCGGGAGGCGGCCGCGCCGTTCGCAGAGGGCTCGTGGAGAGCTGCGCACGACCGGCGGGGCAGCGAGACGCGGCGGCAGCGCGGGGTCCCGGGCTGGGAGCGTGACGGAGGTACGCGCGGCGCTGGCTGCATGCGGAGGAGACCACTTTGCCCCCGCCGCCGGGTTGGCGGGCTCGCGGCTCCCTCCTCGGCGGCGTGCGGGAGATGCTCTGCGTCCTGCCCTGTCATGTCCGCTGAGGAGGCAGCAGTGGGAGGAACGGGCAAGCACCAGGGACAGCACAGCAGTGCGGCGTCCCCTCGGATTCTAAGGCACGGTTTGCGCTCTTAATATACATAGCAATACAGATGCCGTAGATAAACAAGAAACCGGATCTATCTATCTATCTGTCCGTGTGCCATGCACCCGCTCTGCCGTAGAATACAGAATAGGAGATTTGAAGCAGAATCAGTCGCTCCCTCTGCAGTTGAGCCCAAGTGAATCGGGACCCGAGATGATTGTAGTCGGTTAGCTGCAAGTTAATGGGGCAAAAAACATTTTCAAGTTGGCCGGCTGAACAGATTTTCTGGCGTTAGTTTGGGGCGCAAAGGGGATGGCTTTAAAATGTAGTAAAATCCTCGAATCTGATTGGAAATAGCCCCAGCAAAATTCTGTGCGTCTACTCTGCCGAAAGGGAGGGGCTCGATGGTTTGGCAGGGTAGGCAGTAGGTGTTGATGAAACCTCTCCAAGTAAGTAGTACCCAAGATGTATCTGTAATATTGTTGCATTGTATTCAACTCATGCAAATGAAGGCAACATGCCTTTTGCTAGGGAAATAATTCTCTTTACTATTAGTTTTTTTAATTAGCTAGAGAGCAGTTATGCACAGTATATACAAGGGAATCACAGAGTCCTAGATTAAACCTATTCATGTACTCTCTTTAAGCAGAAATGTTAGCAATCTTTTTTGGCATTGATGTTTGGCATTGAAAATCCACTGATTTCTCCATTACTCTGTTTGATGAATGCTGTTAGCTTAGCCTTGTCAAAATCTGTCCCCTCAACGATCTACAGTTCCTTCTGATCCAGGCACCTTAGGAAGTGTTTTGTGGGTTGGTACTTGAAAATAAAAACAACTTGCCCATAGGGTCATTCCCAACTGCAATGTCCAACTGATTACAATAGCAGCAACTAACTTTGCATAGAAAGTAGTTTATATTAATGCTAAAGAACTCACAGGCTTTCTATGTATATTTGTGTGACTGTATTTATAGTCATGTACCATGGATACCTACAGTGTGCTGAAATGATCCTCTTATTAGAACTTAACAGCAGAAACAAACACTACAATGCTAACCCTCTTGAGCATTTATAACTGAAAATTGTTTTATTTCACACAGAACAGGTGTATTGTAGGCTTGGGCCTATTAAATTTCCACCAACTAAAGTGTTCATCTAATATATTTTGAGAAGAAACACATTTTGGAAGAAACAAATATGCACTGAACATAGATTTGATCATGAATCAAAGAAATCCTTCCTCAGAGTGACAGCTTTATGCATACCTCTTGGGGAGAAAATCCAGCTGAATTCAGAGAGGACTTAGAAACATTTGCACTTCAAGGCTTCAGTCATAGGAAAGTTTCACTGAATTCACTGGGACAAAAGCTGAGGAAGTAAGCATAGGATTGCCACTTTACTATTGAACTGTGCTCTGGGAAAAGATGCTGGACTGCTTAGCTTACATGGTGAATGGCCCAACAAATATCTGAAGAAAATGTTTGATTAGAAATGTTGTTTCATTCCTTACTTATGGATCTGTTATTGCTGCTTATAGCTGCGGTTAGAAATCTGCAGCCCACCAGATGCTTAGGCTTAAAATTCACATCATCCCTTACCTTAACAGTGCTGCAGTGCTGATGGGAGCTGTAGGCCAAAATACCTAGAGAGGGCCACATGTTGCCCAATAGAAAGTTGCGGGGGGGGGCATTTTATGCTAGCACACGCCTACTTATTAACTTAAAGGTTATACCCGGTGTTGTCTTCTGCTACAGAAGAAAAGCAGAAATAACTAACCTAGCATTCCCAAAGGATTTGGATTTAGATTCCTTTTAAAACTTACTCTGCCTTCTGGAGCACCTCACCCAATGATCAAGCATCAGTAATCTGGTCAGCAGGTGCCTGTGCAGAAGTAAGTGCACGCTTCTGTGCTCATGGACTCCTCCTGAACAGAAAAGGGGCTTGCTTTGCAACAGAAATTCCATACTGGCATTAAATTGGGAATACAGTAAGATATTCCTAACCCCCATCTTAAGCCACCTACGGGGATAATAAGAGCCAAACAGCAGCTCATTCTGAAATTCTGTATACCCAAATAACATTGGGATGGGAAGGCAGAGCACTCACACTCATATCAGTTGTGAATTGCTTTTGAGTGCATGCGTGTGTGTGTGTGGGGGGGGCGGGGATCCTGATCCCTTTCTTGGCTGCTTAGATGCCCCCCTGGAACTTGATACACTTCCCCTGGTGTGCTGTGCAGCCCCATCCAAAGGAGCCCACCCTACAGTTTAAGGAACAAGGGCATAACCTGAAGAAGAATAGGGGAACGTTTGCAGTAACCATATTTTCCTGACTTCTCTTTTATTCATGATAAGACTGAGTATGGGTCCCAGCTTTCAGAAACATTTTATTGAGTGACTGACAATTCCACTTTTGGTTACATATTTTGAACTACAGCAAGATTGAACATTAATCTTTGAATTGTCCAAACCACATAGTTGAGTAAGCTGTAGGGCACATGTGTTATCTTTCAAACAGAATGATTACTTAATGAACAATAAATGTTAAAAGTAGAGTGTATTTTGGCTTGTTAAAAATGCATAGAAACCTTAAAGCATTAAGAGATTTTATTTAACTCCATGGCCAGATTTCCTGTTTAAGAAAATTGACTCAGCTCCACTAACTTTAATGAAGCCAGTGTGAATTACATAAGCTGATGATATGGGCCCTAGTGTCCAGGAAAGAAAAATATTTTCTTTGTCGCAGAGGGGAAAATTAGTATCATAATTTGTATTATACTTACAGGACACTAAACCTAGCAGTACAAGAAATAAAGTGTCATTCTGTGTAAGCTTCCTAGTTTCATCTGACAGACTTTTAATGGCAATATTGTAATACTATCCCGCAGAATCTACACTTATTTCCACAAATGCATCACCAGTAGTAGGAGTGCCTTTTGTTTACTGGGAAGCAGTACTATGCATACTTGAGATTAAGTCTTTATCTCAAGCTAGGTTTTCCCCTTCCCACTTCCAAAACAACAGACCACTTTCTGGCAAAATCTCTTTATTCTTCAATGCACTTCCAGTAAGCACAACCAACAAAGAATGAGTCTCTTAGCATGCAGAGGTGGTTTGCTGAATCCAATCTAGCAACTGTGTCTGAGCACCCTCTTTTTGAGTACCCCTGCCCCCCCTCCCATGATGGCCCTTTTGGAAATGGGTGAGCCTCTTCTCTGTCTATCACCCCTCTACCTGGTTGACCCATCTCTCCTGATGTCACATCATGGGGTCAAGCATAGTCAAGCGGTTTGACCGGCTGCAGGAGTACTTCTCCTACTCCCCTCCTTGCAGTTGTAAATCTGGACTCTTCTTAACGTCCTCCTGAACACCTGGGGAGTGTGCCCCTGAGATGTGTCCCTCTGTTTCTTCCATTTCATCTTCTGAGGATACTGGCTCCTGGGCCCCTCTACATCTGACCAGGCCCAATCTGCTTGACCTTGGAATGCACTCCAAGAATAACTGGCCCTTTCATTCCCAGCAGTCCCACTGAACACAGTACAATGGAATAGATTCATTTGTATGATGAAGATGGCGTGCCATATTCCATAGTCCATACTGTTTCAAGAGTGGTCACTTTTTGGCCAATCTTGTGTTGCGATACACCTACTTTCTTTTCTTCCACTGGTGGCAGGTGGTAGTGTAAAAGGGGAATGTAAGTGGTGAAATTGCTTGCCTGAACTACAATATCCACATGGACACAGTATACCCGGTGGCCACAATTTCCATGCTGATGAAGATACTGGAATGGTTATTGGGAATTCCATGTGATGCCATTGCTCCCTTTCCCACCAGCTTCTTCCTGCTCCTTCTTATCATTGCTACCACTTTTTGCCTGAAGGGTAGAGATCCTGTGAGCAAGCAAGCTTGCTTTTCTCAACCTTCTCACAAACACTGTTTGTCTGGGCGAGGTCGGAGGGAGATGTAGGTGTTCAAGCAGATTGCAATGGTGGGTCAAGTTCAGGTTGCTCCCTCCTGGGATTTGAGACCTTGACATGGGCCCAACCGTACAGACTCTTAGCTCCATAAAGCAGATGCCATGCAACTATTGGACAGTATCCATGCAGGTGCCACTAAATGTTAGCTACTTGCTCTACATCATTGTATTCCTTCACCCTCATAAATGCAGGGTTGGGCTTGCATTAGTATGAAATATGAATAGACCCCAACTTCCTTCATAATTCCTTTATAATTTTTGACTTCATATGTTAAAAATAGAAAGAGTTCAGCAATAAAGTTACAAGAATCTGAATATCCATAACCAAATATCTGCTTTTTGGGAAGAAAATATCAGACATAAGATACATATACAATTATTTGTTTCAGAAGCCTGGTTCTTAGGGTCAATCCAATCTTTAGCTCTTCAACTAGGGCACCAAAGCTGCCACACTTTTTACATTGTAAAATGCACACATGGAACATAACTGATGAGATTATCTTGCAATAAACCTGGGAAAATGGATCAAATTCTTTCTTGGTTGCCACTTTTATGTCGCAGAAGCTTTCCCATACCTACAAACCATTCTTAACAGATATACTATCAACCAATCTTATCTTTTGGTATCAACAAATCATTTTAAATGAGTAAGGCAGAATAGACTTGCATTATGCAGTGGTAATTCTGCTGAATTTTTAAGGTTGCTGAAATGGGCATGCTGTTGATGTGGTTTCCTATTTGCTAATGCTCTTTCCCTGCCCATCTGTTGCAGCTTAGCTTCCCTTTGTTTAGACAGGCCTAGCTTTCAACACCACACAAAGAGTAACATGTATCACACATATAATACACCTTGGAGTCTTACTTGAAGCTTAAGCAGATAATTAATTGCCTATTTATTGCTTAATGTCTTATCACACTTGGGTAAACTGAATAAATCCAAATAACTTAGTCACCAGGCAACAGTTTATGTTAAGAAAATGCAAATAGGCGATTCTTATTTATAACAAATCATGTTAATTTATAATAACAATCTGTTGTTGGTTTTGCTAATGTATTTGTATTGTCACTATATTACTTGAAAGGGCTAATATATGGTAATAGTGGGAACAATTTTATGCATTCAAGTAAAAACAATTTGAGTCATATTTTAAACACACACCAAATATTGTTTTTCCTTGCAAGTTTCAATATACACAAGATATATCATGTATGAATACAGCATGCCATTGTGTCAGTTACCAAACTTCCTTAGTTTCATACACCCTGCTATCCTGAAACCATGATGGGAAAGCTTTTTCCACCCAGGACCAAACTGGCACAAGGTGAGGATATTGCGGGGGGCGGGGGCACACGCCAATTGAGAAGGCACGGCCAAAATTGGGTAGCCACTATCACTCATTCTCTCTCTCTCTCTCTCTCTCTCTCACACACACACACACACACACAGACATGCACACAGGGCAGGGTACACCTGCATTATGTTTTTCTCATCAGGAAAGGTGAGAGATGAAGAAACCTGAAGGACCTTAAGGTATGGTGGTGAGATGAAGGAAAAGAATTTGCATACTTGCATCATAGTGCCCAAATCTGACCAGAAATAATGAGCAAAAGGGCCTATATTAAAACTTCCATGCACAAAAATACTTCAGTAGAGGAAATCACAAAAAATGTATATAATTTGTAAAGGGAGGGGGACACAGTTTATATATTTTCTGAAAAAATGATGAAAATATGCATGAAATGTAAGTGGATTCTCTTAATAAAAACTAATCTGTATGTGGGATAGACTTAACTTTGGATTTTTTTTTAAGTCTGAAATTGGACTTGACTGATTTGGCCATCCCTGAGGAAAACTTCATGTATTCTCATAGCAAGTTCAGCTGCCCAAGAAAGCTTGTCCCACATAACTAACATATAAATGTGTTAGTCTTTTAAAGGTTTCACAGTCATTACATAACTAGGAAGAGATGAGTGCCTTGCCTTCACTAATTTTAACCAGAATTGCAGTTAGGGTGGGCTGAGGCAGTAGCTGGCATGGCTTACGTGCAGAAAATGGCTCAGCAGATCTGTTCTGAAACTTGGCAGTGTAGGAAAGCCAGGTTTCGAATTGCCTATGCTGATTTTGAGATATTAAGTGTAAGAAATGGCTTCTTCATAGAATAAATCTACTGCATAGGATTTTTCAGGTTTGACCAATGACTGCAGTTTGATTTGTGTTTTCCCTGGTAGGCTTTGCCGGCACCAGACTCGTTCAGCTGATTTCTCCATTGATAAATCTGTTGTAAAAGGTTTTAGTGTTAGCACAGGGAGAATGTCTACAGAATGATTTGCCTTATAAGAGTACGACGTGTTTGTGGCTTTTATTAAAAATTCAAAATTTCAAGCTGTTTTAGTCAAATAGCTTTTTCAGCTAAGATGTGTCATTGCACATGCTCTGAAGGAAGCAGTGCTGACTGACAATTTCAGTTTGAGATTGAAGCAGGATGGCAGAAGGAGGGTTGTTAACCTGACACGTGGTATCTAAAAAAGGTTTTCTCTAATGTGCTGCCCTGCAGATGTTTTGGACTTCAACTCCCATCAGTCCCAGCCTGCATGGCCTGTGTTCACCAATGCAGAGAATAACAGTCCAAAATACCTGGAGAGCTCCAGATTGGAGGAGACCTCTATTAAGTTATTACACTTGACTAAGTACAGTTGTTGCAATGTATGGCTGTGAAAGTTGGACCATAAGGAAGACTGAGTGCCAAAGGATTGTGGCCTTTGAATTGTGGTGCTGGAGGAGACTCCTGTGAGTCCCTTGGACCGCAAGGCGATCAAGCCGGTCAGTCCTAGAGGAGATCAATCCTGACTGCTCTTTAGAAGGCCAGATCCTGAAGATGAAACTCAAATACTTTGGCCACCTAATGACAAGGAAGGACTCCCTGGAGAAGAGCCTAATGCTGGGAACAATAGATGGCGGAAGAAGATGGGAAGGCAGAGAATGAGGTGGCTGGATGGAGTCACTGAAGCCGTTGGTGTGAGCTTAAGTGGACTCCAGGGGATGGTGGAGGACAGGAAGGCCTGGAGGAGTGTTGTCCATGGGGTCGCGATGGGTCAGGCATGACTTTGCAACTAGCAAGCAAGCAAGCAAGCAAAGTACAGTTGCGTGTATTGCATATTCTGATATGCATTTTCCTGTCAGGGAATCTGTTGAACCAGCATCAAAGGTCTCCAACTTGGAGTTTTGGTTTGAGAGCAGTTCTTCTACTTGAGGAAAGGTACCAATGAAGGAATGATCTCTCTCTTTTAATATACAGTGACAGTCAGACAAGTTTTTCTCATGCTATACTAGTAGTATATTCAACATGCTTAACGTAATTTGAACCCTATGACACCTAGTCCTTTGTGGTTGATAATCTGTTAAGATCAGATTGCTTACAATCTTTAATCAGTGCTACTGTTATGTGTATTGTGAATAGCTGCTGACTTTTACATAAAATACTGTCCTGGGATTTTGTATAAAACACTTTTTAAATCAAAGATGATTTTTGAATGTTCAGCACTGAAAAGGTATATCAACATGATCAACAAATCCTGTTCCATCGAGGTATAAATGATACCTGTGGGACCTATATGGCATTACTACTATACAATATTTCCACCCATGCTGGGCAGTTGCAAATTTACCTGATATAACTGGGTTATACATGCCCTATGTAAATCAGAATAAATTTTGATCAAAATATGCAACAGTAAAAATATGGTGGATAAAGTAACAAACATGGGTATTGGTGTTCCATCTAATAGAGGTATAGGATTTGAAGGCACCTCATTATTTAACTACTTTTCAGTGTACAGAAGTTAATATTGTTTACCACCTTTGAACATGTATTTAAGCTGCGGGGGGGGGGGGGGATTGAATAATAGATATGTTCTGTTCTCTTTGGTTTTTCAACCTTTTAGGCAGCTTTGCTGGGAATACAGAGGTGGCTGTTGGTCTCCTGACATAAGATAGTAAATGCTTAGAGGGGTTGCAGAAAGAGCAGATAAATCAGGAATGAATCGGTGTGATGTGGCCATTCTTGCCCATTGTGTTTTGATAGTCACATTTTCCCTTACCACCTTGCTTGTGCTGCTTGTTTTCCCCATTCTCCTTAAGTTTACCTTTTCCTCTCCATATACACCCCCTTAATCTTACATACCCCCCTTTTAATTTATTGTGGCTATTTGAAGGCTAGCCTCCATATTTGCCCCCTTTCTCCTACCATTGTTGGGTAGCAATTTATTTATTTTGGAGTGTTTCTTCAGCTCTTCAGCTTCTTGTTTCTGGCTTGACTAGGAGAAGAGGGAGCTTCTTGAGTAAATAAAGTATAGCTACAATTGTTGCATTTAAGCATATTGCTGTCTAAAGCAGACAGTGTGGTCTCATGTCCCAAAACTATCAGAGCACAACACATACAAACTGTAACAAAAACTTTAAAGCCCAGTTTAAAAACAGCTTGCATCGCAACCTAAAGATGTTTGCAGATGGGAGAGTGCATAAAGGATTTGTGTCAGCCTCGTTATTGTATCAGCCTACATGTCGCAACCCCAAAAGGTGAATTCAGTATGTCAGGAAGGTAGATGTAGGCGAGCAGCTGAATGCCTGGTGGGTGACGTAGCCAGAAAATGGTGCGTGCTTAAATTCCAGAGTTTTGGCCACCCCACCTCTCCCATTCATTTCCAACTATATAATCGTGCCATGATGCAGCCATGCTGTATTACTTGCCGGAGAAGTTACAAGGATGTGTACTGCTGCATTGACACGAAGTCTAAGGCCAGCCCACAACACACAATGTGCTGCTGGTCTTACTGTTCTTGTGCAACAGACTTTGTGCTACTTTCCCAATGCAGTAGCTTACAGAATTAGGTCATTAGTCACCCGGGATAGCAAGGCAATCAGAGTTTTCCATGCTTGATCTAGTGGCAATAAGGTAGGCTATTTCTATACCAATGATTGCCAGTGTTCTGTAAAGCCCAGTTTTGTATTGATTTGTCTTTTCAGGTGTGACCTGAGGTCTTCTGAAAGAGAGCAGCCCTAAAGCACTGACTGTGGAGAGCTGCACTTTTCTTGGCTGAAAAGCTGTCGTGACTTTCCGAGGCATATGCTGCTGCAGGGTGCAGCTAATGATGCTTTGCAAAAAGGAGTGATTGAAAACTTGCTCCTTGAAGTGGATATTGTGTATATTGAAGAAGTTCTGCCACACAGTCACAATGGCCTCATCAAGGCTGGTAGCAAGAACATCTCGGGATATTGCTGGTGTCATGCAGAGACTCCAAGGTAAGTGACTGAGTGGCTCAGATTTGCTTGATTTGTTCCTTCAGATGTTATTGAGAGCCAGTGAAGCTATTTTGCTGTTGTTTTTAGTTCTGTGAAAGTAGAAGGCAAGTCCATAGGGGACCTTTTGGCAATTCCTGTTGAAATAAATAGGACTTGTGCTCTTGCATTTATCTGCATCCAGGAGGAATTCTGTTGCCAGTTCCTAACTTTGTGCTAGAACTGCAGGGACCACTTAAAAGGATATGTGAATGTACAGAGTGGTATTTTGACTTAAACACTGCACTGCAATCAGTAATTGGACCACGACATCTACTTGTCTTGAACGTCTTTCTTTTCAGCAATTTGCCTAGTTGTGGGTGGAACTTGACTTCTTGTGTTGGATCTGTGCAGTTGAGTTGGGATTCTCTTTTAAAAAGAAAGCATTATTTGATTTAATCAGTTCCATCATCACCTTGTGGGACATATCTGGCTGGCTGGCATTAAACAGGGGTAGGCTAGTCACATCCCAAACATCATGCATGTCAGCAGGGGCATTACAAATGGCCTGAGATTGAATATTCTCCCACCAAAAGCCCCCAGCCCAATCCCCAGGTAATCCAGCCTCTCAGGTACGCATGGGGACCACCTGAATTCAAATGCGCCGATCAGCGATTGCAATGGGAATTTCAACCCAATAAGCAGCTGTCATCACTGCCTGGTCATCAGGGGTATGAAAGGGGACACCACCATGTGCTAGCGGTCAATGCCCCTTTGCTGTGATCAAACTTTATTCTGGAGAATAACAATGCAGATTAACATTTCTCTGCACCATGTGTTTAATAGGGTGAAGCATGCCAGGGTCGGCCCACTAGGGCCTCATCTGTTCCCAGAGTGGCAAATACGAAATTTAAAAACTACCCCTGTTCATGTGTAATAGCAGGAAATCATGGGTTAAGAATAAATAATGGGTTATCTGTTGGTTACTTAACCCATGATTAATCCATAGTGACTAGAGTTTGATTTCTGGTGTAACTTTGCACATCATAAATCAAACTCCAGTCAGACCAATCAGAGGCTAATTATGCAAAGTGTATCACTCTGTCAGTGCATTGAACCTTGAGAACAAAAATGTTCACCTTGATTTAAATAGATAGGACTTATTTAACAGAAAAGGGTCAGAAGGCACATGGCTCCTCTTTTATAGTATCTTCAGGCTTCTAACCTATTTGTTCACATCCTTGTCTCCCAACTGTATTGTCATTATCTGGTTCCTGTTGCAAGATCAAGCAGGATTTTAAAAACACCGTCTCCGCTGAGTACAATTCTTTTTTTAGGCTATGGTCCTGCATTATGGATGAGCAGACAATCTGCAGTGCAGTCTCTTTCTGGCCTTTATGAATTTAGAGGTTCCTCTCTAGCAGATGTCAAACATAAATTATGTGGGAATTCTAAAGGACCCTGTAAACCTGAAGCACAGGTCTATACAACTTGTCCTCTATCATGCCAGAGTCATCGGTACTGCACAGCTTGTACTTTATCAGACCAAACACAGCCCGCTAATTATGGATTGTGGCCTGCAAGGTAGCTGACTCTTTTCCTTAATTCTGCCAGTCCATACAGGCCTCAGGAGAAAGAGCGGATCTACTCCACCTATAATCCTACCTTATAGTATAGTATAATGTTCCTTCTTTTGCTATGATCATATTTTAGTCATTTTGCACAGTACAGAGTAAAACAAATCCATTTAGTTATGATTTGCTTTGGTTATGACTTCTTCCCCTAATTCTGTACTGCAGCAGAACACGAAGCTGACTCTAGATTTCCCCCCATCTAGTTTCTAGCATAGATTACCCACTGAAAGCGACCAAAGCTGTCTCTGTTCCTTATAGGCACAGTGGAAACACATCCTCTGATATAGGGAAGCACTGACCACTATCCTTATCTACTTAGTCAGTTGCAGTTCTCATAAGGCAGAAGGACAAGGGTTAAACACACATGGAAATTCTAATCTCACCCACATCCTCAGACTGAACCGCTGAGGCTTCTCACGATATCCTTCTGAACTGCTTCTGAATTTGCAGGGACCCTTTTATGATGGTTTGAGGCCTGACTGGGATAACATTTCTGGAAGGGAATCCTTGAAGACTTTTGCTCAACATCCTTGCTTTTGGGCTGTGGTGTCCCATAGGGTCCCATCTCACCCCCCAAGTTATTTACATGGACACTCTGGGTATGGTTGTCTAGAGTATTGGCACTTGCTGCCACCAATAAGCAGATGATTGCCAGCCCTTGTCTCTCTTTTCTATCTAAAGCTGTTGTCAAGTTTTGAATCACTGCCTAGCATCAGAATGGAAGAGGGCAAACAAAAGGGAGCCTAATCCAGCCAAGTGAGTGGCTGTCAGATTTTACCATGGTGGTGCATGCCTTCCTTGCATCTCATTTGGATTATGAAAACACACTCTATGTGGAGCATTCTTTGAACAGCTCTTGAACATTGAACTGCACATTAATGATCAGGGCTTGTTATAAGGAGCAAGTGATTTCTGTGTTCCAACAGTTCCTTATATAACTTGGGACCAGGTTATCTAAAATATCTTTTCTTGTTATATGAACCTGCTTGTTATCATCGGATGAGGCTTTTCTTTCTGTCCCACCAGGAGGAAGTAGGAATTAGAGGGGGCCGCCTTGGTTGCTGCTTCCAGGCTCTAGGAAAGTTTGCCCAGAGATGTCTGTCCTTCTGGTTCTGAGATGGAGAGCCTGCAGTGGGAATGCTCTGCTGAGAGCATGAGGATTTGCTTATTGTGACCAAGACTTGCTATGGTCCCTAACATGATAACAGTAAAAATAAAAAGTACAACATTTTTACAACATGAGAAGGTTAGGATGTGGGGGTGCTCCTTATCACGATTGTCACTCCCTTCCCGCTTTGGGAAACAATTCAAACACAGGAAAGGGAACAAGCGGCAGTGGAAGGAAGAAGAGGTGTCCAGGAGCTCTAGGTCCTGGGTCTTTGCCATGGCATAATCCCTGGGAGGAGGCCAACACCACCAATACCCAGCACTGGCCTTGAGCAATACAATTATAAAGTTGGGGGTCTTGCAAAAAGTGTTAGGAAAAGCCCCATCTTGTTATAAAAACAATCATTTATTTTGACCTTGTGCCAGTTAAATGCTGCTGACTCCTACTGAGTCATAAAGTACAAAAACATCAAAATAATATACTAGGAAAAAAAGTGCTTTGCCACACTTGCTTTCTTAAACTGCAGTACTAATCATTGCTACATAGATGGGAGTACTATTTAAGTTAGTGGAATTTTCCTCTAAGTAATTTGGGGTTGAGTGAAGAATTACATAGTTAAGGTTTTCTGAAGGTTGTTGTGTCCTGTCCTCTACACTGCATGAAATGATTCACACTTAAACACATTTAACATTTTTGTTAGTTAATTTTATTTGTTTCATATGCTTTCCTCCCCAGATCTTGGGGGTATTTATGAGTCAGCCCATTTACTCTTCACAATAGTTCTGTGATTCAGGCATCACTGAATGATAACATCTGCTCAAGGTTATCCAGTAAGCTTTGGGTACCGAATGCCTGCCTTTTGAAGCTGCCTTTGGTGAGTCAGGCCAGTACCAGCGGCATATGATCGAGTCTGTCCTGACATAGCTGAAGTACAATAGTGAGGTCTCACTGAGCTTCAGTGTGTGAGAAACTTTTAAAAGCATATACTGGATAATGAACCTGACAAAGAATGTGGGCTGAGCTACTGTTCTTCTTCTTAGGAATAGGTGTGTATTTATTTTTATGACCTTTTTATATAATAAGAACAGAGCAGCTTACCAAACAAATAACATGCAACAAGAATAGTTCAAATGACTAAAATCAATTTCATATATTAAAACTAAGAAGAGGACAAAACTAACAAAAAAGGAGACTGATCTTTAATTTACACTAAAAGCTAGGGATGTGTGAATTTTGTTAAAGCTGTTCCAACTGGGTTTTGTAGATTGTCAGGCACCTGCATTTGATTGTATGCCCATTAACAGAATCAGATTTTTCAGTGTCGGGATGTACAGGAATGGCATTCCTGTTCACATATACATGCTTCTGTTTCTCAGAAATTAAAAAACAAAAGCAGTGTGCTAGTCTACAGAATCCACTTGACTCTGGAAAAGCAAGGCTGCTGCAGGATCCACAGGCTGGGTTCTTAGAAATCTGTACTTATTAGAATCCACTGTGGTCTTAGGAACTTGGCCTGGTATAATCACATTGTTTATCAAACGTGTATGTGCATATGTGTGTAGAGGGGAGTCCTTTTTATATGCAGTACACAGTTACTTCCAAGTTCAAGACTAGGGAGCAAAAGTTACTGCGTTTGTTTATTAAATACTTTTTAAATGCTTCCCTTCAGTATAAATATTTTTCAGGGTGGCTTGCAAATAAAAGAATCAAGATACATTAACAATAAAGGCTAAGGAAACAAGAACAGTCACTACTACGCTCAGCCTCTGGGGCCTTTCTCTGGGTGGCAATCCCTCAAGAGGCTTGGAGTTTGGCAACTAGGGGACGGCCTTGGAGTTTGGCAACTAGCTTTGGACAGTGGTGGCCCCTCACTTCTGGAACAACCTCCCTCCTGCGGCCCAGCTGGTGCCAAATTTGCCATCTTTTGGACATGAGGTTAAGACAGTCCTCTTTGCAGAGGCCTTTGAAAACCTCCCTGGTCTTTCGGGAGCCTGATACAATCAGCCAGGTACCTTCCTTTTAATCTTGGCTGGGTCTTTTAAATTTTTTCAAAATTATCTTTTAATATTCGTTTGTGTTCTTTCAAAATAATTTTAATTCTTAATATTTTTATCTATTGTGTTTATTGCGTTTATACTTTATTGCAAACCACCCAGAGAGCTTTGGCTACAGGCAGTATAGAAATGAAATAACTACCATAAAGTGGCATAAACTTGTACAGTAAAATAGTTTAAAGGCCTGAAAAGATGAAAGGGTTGTTTGTTGTTGTTGTTGTTTTTGGC